CTGTTGACCCCCCCCCCCAAGCACCAAGAAGACAGGGCATCCCTTGCCCCAGAGCCCCTATCTATACCTTGTGGCTCATAGCCACTGATGGACCTCTGCTCCATATGCCTATCTACGGTAATTCCCTCTTGAAGCTGTCCATGCTTGTAGCCGCCACCACTTCCTGTGGCAGTGAATTCCAAGTGTTAATCACTCTTTGGGTGAAGAAGGACTTCCTTTTATCCGTTCTAACCCGACCGCTCAGCAATTTCATGGAGTGCCCACGAGTTCTTGTCTTGTGAGAAAGGGAGAAAAGGACCTCTTTCTCTACCTGCTCTTTCCCATGCATAATCTTATAAACCTCAATCATGTCACCCCTCAGTCGTCGTTTCTCCAAGCTAAAGAGCCCCAAGCGCTTTAACCTTTCCTCATAGGGAAAGTGTCCCAACCCTTTTATCATTCGACTTGCCCTTTTCTGCACTTTTTCCAAAGCTATAATATCCTTTTTAAGGTGTGGTGACCAGAACTGCACACAGTATTCCAAATGAGACTGCAGAGACCAGTCCCCCTGGAGAAAACCATGCAGTGTTGCCAACTCCATGCTGGGAGATTCCTGAAGATCTGTGGGCGGAGCCTAAGGAGGTGCAGTTCGGAGAGGGGCGGGACTTCAACAGGGTATAATGCCACAGAGTCGAAATCCCAAAGCAGCTGTTTTCTCCAGGGGAGCTGATCTCATAGAAGCATAGAATGATCGAGTTGGAAGGGACCTTGCGGGTCATCTAGCCCAGCCCCCTGCACTCTGCAGGAGCCGAGCCGAAAGACAGCCCTACGACATACCTCCGTGCAATCCTCCTTGAGTCCTGGTGAGAAAGGCGGATGATAAGCAATGGAAATAAATGAATACATGAAAATAATGCCATAGAGTCCACCCCTCAAAGCAGCCTTTTTCTCAGGGGTGCCAACCTCCAGGTAGAGCCTAGAGATCTCCCAGAATTCCAACTGATCTCCAGGATACAGAAGGGGGCAACCAGGATGGTGGGCGTGTTGGAATCCAAGTCTTACGAGGAAAGGGGAAAGAGAAGGCTTAGAGGGGACATGATGGCAGTCTTCAGGTATCTGAAGGGCTGTCATGTAGAAGATGAAGCGGATCTATTCTCTCTTGCTCCGGATTGCACAAGGGACAAGGGAGTCGATACCGGCGAAATATCAGGAGAAACTTCCTAACTGTCAGAGTGGTTGAGCAGTGGAATGGATTGCCTCGGGAGGTGGCGGATGCTCCTTCGCTGGACGTTTTCAAGCGGAGGCTGGACGACCATCTTTTGGGTATGTCGTAGGGCTCTCTTTCGGCTCTGCTCCTGCAGAGTGCAGGGGGTTGGACTAGATGACCTGCAGGGTCCCTTCCAACTCTAACATTCTATGATTCTGTGATTTGGAGGGTGGACTCTGTGGCACTGTTCTATGCTGAGGTCCCTTTCCTCCTCATGCTCCACCCTCAAATCTCCAGGGGTTTTCCGAACTGAATCTGAGAACCCTTTGTCCTCATCCCCCCGCCGGTGTCCAGGGGAAAACTGGCAACCCTACCTGGGACGGAAAGGGACATTGCTGGTCTCTCATCCCCCTTGGCTCCTCATGCTTTAGTTCCTCTTCCACCAGACATTCCTGAATCCATTTTATGGTTGTTCTAAACCAACTGGATTCACAAGGGTTCACATCGTCCATGGCTGCCATCAGAAAAGCTTGCAATTAAAGCCGAGTGGCAGTTAGAGTGGATGCAAGCTGGTTCGGCACTGAGCCGGTGAGGGCGATGCTGGAGATCGGCCACGTGCAGCCTGCCAACTCTCTGCCCTCTGCCTCCCCCCAAAGCAGCAGCCCGGCCGGCTGCAATATGGCAGCGTTCAAATCCTCAGATAGGTAATGGATGAAGTCTCATTGAAGGAAAACAGAGGGAGGGTGAAGACAAGGGCGGGAGAAGTGGCTGGACAGGTCCTGGGGGATGTAAGAGGTTTGTATGGGTTGTGCCAGGCTCGAAAAAGGGCATGAGCCCTTACAGGATCAAATATGTGCGGAAAGTGCTGTCAGGTTACAGACAATGTATGCCCACCCCAGCAAGGGGCTTCCAAGGCAAGGGAGAAGCAGAGGTGGTCTGCCATGGCCTTCCTCTGCAGAGCCTTCCTTGGTGTTTCCCCATCCAAGCACTGACCCTGCTTAGCTTCCAACTTATGGCCACCCCAGCAAGGGGCTTCCAAGGCAAGGGAGAAGCAGAGGTGGTTTGTCATGGACCTCCTCTGCAGAGCCTTCCCTGGCGGTCTCCCTTCCAAGTATGGACCCTGCTTAGCTCCCAACTTATGGCAACCCCAGCCAGGGGCTTCCAAGGCAAGGGATAAGCAGAGGTAGTTTGCCATGGACCTTCTCTGCAGAGCCTTCCTTGGCGGTCTTCCTTCCAAGTACCTGCCCTGCTTAGCTTCCAACTTATGACCACCCCAGCAAGGGGCTTTTGAGGCAAGTGAGAAGCAGAGGTGGTCTGCCATTGTCTTCCTCTGCAGAGCCTTCCTTGGTGGTCTCCCTTCCAAGTACTGACCCTGCTTAGCTTCCAACTTATGGCCACCCCAGCAAGGGGCTTCCAAGGCAAGGGAGAAGCAGGGATGGTTTGCCATTGCCTTCCTCTGCAGTCTTTCATGGTGAGCTCCCTTCCAGGTACCGACCCTGCTCAACTTCTAAGATCTGATGAGATCAGGCTGCCTTCTCTCTCCTATGGGATCAAATGCATGACGCTTTTTGAAAGGAGAAGGAAATGATGAAGCTCCGGTATCCTTTGCATGACTGGGAAGATGCACAATGAAGCTGGATCCAGATATAGTCAGTGTCTGGATGGAAGGCCTCCTGGGGTTACCAGATCCGAGTTGAGAAATTCCTGGAGATTTGGGGGGGGGGGGGCCTAGGGAGGGGGGGGTTTGGGAAAGGGAGGGATCTCAGCAGGTAGCCGTTTTCTTCAGGGGGACTGATCTCTCTCGCCTGGAGATCAGTTGTAATGCCAGGGGACCCCCAGCCACCGCCTGCGGGTTGGGAACCCTATCTTGGGACCTTTGACTGGCATGACAAAAGAAAGGCAGGGTGTTAGTGATCAGAGGTCCCCGGCCTTTCTGAGCCTGTGGGGGCCTTTGGAATTTGAACACAGGGCGGTGGGTGCAACCCCAAAATGGCTGCCAGAGGAGGCACAGCCAAACAGAGGAAGCCCAAGTCCTGGAAAGAAGAGAGGTAATTTTAAAAATGTGCTGGGAGAGAGGCGGGAGAATAAAGCAAAGCTGTGGCGGCAGCTGCCACCAAAATGACATTGTTTTAATCTGCACGGCCAATTTGATCTTCCACGGCCAATCAGGAGCCCAGCTGAGCCCCACCTGGCAGACTCTGATCTGGGAGAACAAGGTTGGATTCCCCATTCCTACACATGCGGCTGCTGGTGTGACCTTGGGTCAGTCACAAGTTGTCTC